GTTCTATTTCCCAAAAATAAATGAAGACAAGCTGACAGTAAGCACTGGATCATTTACCTTGGAAGATGTACTACTTGTTTTCAGAACGATCAGCAAGCCCTTGCTGTATTCCAAATTACCTTAATTTTATAATAGCTTTCTTTTTTTTTCAATAAAAAACTTGCAACACACCTGAAGAGTTGACATAAGGCAGCAAGTTGGCAACCAGTCGGGCATTCATTACCCTGAAAATATCCAAACATTCAAACTTCCATCTGACCTCAACTTCCAGAACATTTGTCTTACCGCCTTCTCGAACTTGACAGTCCCTTTCCTTCCCATGACTATATTTTCGACAACAAATTTGTCTGACTTCACAAACTGGAAAATTTGGCTAGTTGCCTTCATTGCTCACCAGCTAAGGCTGTCGTCGTAATCGAGCTCAAAATAATCGATGACTGGCGGTACGAACGTGAAGAACCAGAATGGCGTCCAGCAAATGAAGTGAAACGCAGATACACGTAGCACAGATCGTGTCAATTCGCAAATGTAATGAGGTTCATGCAACACTCTTCCACTGCTTCCTACAAAATTCTTTTACTTCTAACTAAATTTAGTAGTATAAAATTCCGTCAATGTAAAACAAAGGACATACAGCTACACAGACTAATACATGCGGACAGATGAGAAATAGTACTTGCAGACAGGCTGAAAGAGTTACGCATCCATGTGATGAGGCAAAAATTACCGATACTCCTCAACAGAGAAGTGTGCTCGCGGTGCATTGTAAAAATGCGTGTGAAATGAAACATCTGGAGAGATAAGAAAATTGGTGCGTTCGGGAAATAAAAGTAGGGACCATTGGCGATGCTCACCAGGCAAGCCCATGCAATCAAGCGTTTTTGCAGTGCTTCGTGCTATAGTCAGACTGCGTGGAACCCCAGTAGCTGGAATTTGTGACATACTAAAAAAGTTAGATTTGCGAATACGCATTACTTGATCAGGAGACATTCCGTTAAAATTTCAGCTTCCTAGCTTCTCTGGTTCCCGAGTTAACGGTTTTTCACCAAAAACTTTCACGGGACCGTACGTGACGACCGAGCACATCTGAGGGTGGAATTTGAAAACTTTAGATCGTATGTGGGCTGGATACATCGCTTTAAAATTTCAGTCTCCCATTTCTTCTGGTTCCCGACCAAAAATTCGGGGTCTAAACATGCACGAGAGTTGGTGCCGCGGCCCTTGGGGTGGTAACTGACGTGAGAACTCACCAGCAACTTTTAGTGCGGCAGCTTGCTTGACTGCCGAATTGAAATACCCGGAGATGCGCACACGCATAATGCGTCCATAACACATGCGAAAATATAAACACACGCACACCGGGGTTGTCACAATATGCGTTTTTGCATTTGCATACAGGAATAAGAGGTGTCGGGGGATTGATGGGTCTACAGAATCGCAACCAATGAAAGCTGCGGAAGACTAACAAATGCGGAGCAGAAAAAAAGAGCGGACTGACTGGAACATATAAGTTGGCATGCAGTGGAAGGGGAAGGCAGAGGTGAGACGAATAAGTACCAGCAGTGAGCAGGCGCTTGTTGAATCGTTTGCGTACGTGTCGAATGAGTAAGAAGTAGCATATGGACATGACGCCGAGAGGCAAAATGAAGCCAAAAAATAACAAATAACTCATCGCAAAAATGAACAAATCATCCGGCATCATATTTATACACATTGTCAGAGTAGCATTACGACCTCCCGGCTGAAATAACACAGTGAAGTGCGCAACCAAGAATTTTGAGAGACAGAAAGGCGCAGTCCGGGAGAATTGTTTTAACTTTCTACTAAAACTCCCGTTCATATTTGCCTTACTCCTATATCTCACCGATTTTTTATTTCGTGATTTTTCTTCTTTGGCGTTCATGTTCTCGCTAATCTGTCCTTTAGCATTTAGTTGTATAAAAAGCATACACATGATGAATGACAGGCTGTACTGATGATTTTCGCTTCCGCCTGCACACATGGCTCTGTCTATTTTTATGTACAAGGGAAAAAGCGCTACGATTTGTTCTTTTAATTAGCTTTAATATCTCAGCTTTCAAAGTAGAAGGGAGGAGTATGTAGAAAATGGAGCTTAGATTCTAAAACATTTTGATATAGAGACGCTCCCGGCACATAAAAAATTACATGCATCTGCTTTATAAAGAACGCCATCAGCTCGCTTCTAAGCAACCATCTAAAGAGAAGGCCACTAAGTGGTTGCTACTGACAATTGCTAGCATTCGGTGTATCATAGCCTGTTACGAGGTACAAAAAACGAATGGGATCTTAGCTTTGATCTGACAATGATACACAACGGTTTTTGCTATAATAGCAGGCCAGGGACAAAAAAGAATAGGAATGGTTTGTAACTAGTAAGAGCGAAGCATTTATTATACTCATACTTTCTCTTTAACCTTAAATTTATTGTGTAAATCGTCTATAAAAAATATTATGTATTTGTGGAAGAAAAAAGGAAATAATTGAAAAAGGAATGTTTCGGTCCATTAATTCGCATATATTCTTATTCAGCATAAATGGGCCTCATCAATAGGACAATTGTGATGTTGATACAAATAGAGAAAAAGCAAATGAGGGTGTAGAGGAAGTACATCTGGAGTATTAAGGCAAATAAAAAAATATATACTCAAAGCCCACGGTTGACCATATCCTCATAATGTGGCCGTTGCTTGAAAACAAACGTATGAAACTCACATAGGGCACATCCACTGCATCGGTATACATTCCCCATGGTATCGCTGGTACCGCGACGCATACGGCAATTCCAACTGACAGTGGAGCAATATTCATACATCGCTTGCCGTTTGGATAGCGCCATGAATCCCTAACTCCGCAGTAACGCTCCACGCTGATACACATCAGAGTGACCACCGAAAATAACTTTCCCGCAATATCGATGGTGCAGTGAATACGACAAAGCTGAAAATAGGAATGCTTTTATAAGAATGCGTCAAAAGTCAGGATCGTCAACAGGCTGACCATCTGGTGATGTACAGTCGACTAAACCAACTGGATAAGTTACCAGAGCTTCGTGTTTGAAGAGCCATGTATGAACCGCAAATGTTCCAAATATTCTACGAAAGCAGGAGAGGCAATCTTCTGCGAACCTAAATAACCACCAAATTACCCCTTGTAGGCTTCATCTCTTAGTCATCAGTTGCACTACTTGCGGGTAACTCATTTCTCACTTACAGTGAACGAAAGTAAAAAAAAGAAGACAGAAGCGGAAAGGGGGATGAGGGGGTGGGG